AGGAAGATCTAGAGGAATGTACCTTGTCCGGAGACCATAGTATGCATGATGACTTCCACAGCCGGACCGTGGATTTAGTACAGTCCCAGACATTTCGTCGGCATCGTAGTCGACCACACTACAACTCGTCAAGGATACAACTATATTTACAGAATTTAAGGATGAGCGAGTGAGTTTTCTTGACTCGCTAGCTTGAATATGGTTGTAAGGAAGATGCCCTCCTCTGATGATGTCCGTCATTTGACGGACGAAGGAGATTGCCTTGTAAACAGCGCAAACAAGATATTTATATTCAATCCAATCGGCAGCTGGCTAAGAGGAATCCGCCGTCGTCTTCTAGTGGAATCGACCTTTCACTCGAACTGGAAGGGGAACCAGCCATTATGAACCAAGAGATTACTCGAAACCCAACTTTTATTCACATATATTTAGTTTGATTAGGCACCTTTAGCGTAGAATTTCCATCATAAGTTCGGAGCCAGTCTTGGTAATAAATCCCAAAGGCTTATATGATGGCCGTGATTGAAGAGTTATATCTGGTCATAGACCAGCTGACAAAAGTGAATTAATGAATGAAAAGCCCTGCAATTCTTCCTGTCCCCTTTCTTTCTATAATTAATTATATTTAGGTATTGGGTTGTTTTGTTTTTTCTTTTTGGACCATTTACTCTTTCATTGAATTGAATATGTTTCAAAACTACCGGTAGATCTTGAATAAAAGCTGTAGTGTCCCTAGTGACCGTCTTCTCTACATAGATCCAGTGGAGTTTACACTTCCGAAACTTTGGAGATCCGAAGTTGGGAAAATAAAATGTCCTTTTGATTTGGTAACAAAGTCTCGCCTACCCGGCTGTAGGGCATTAGATATTAGTGTTTTCGTGTTGGCTTCCAAGTCCATCAACTTGACGAATATGGACCCACTGAGCCTCAACGCTTGATTCTCAATACTTTCATAGAGAGTCCCTGTGGTGCGTCTATGCCTGTAACTCACTATTTATTGGCCTAAAGTGACAAGTTACTTTTAGACAGAGGAAGGCATGAATCACTACACAAATCATAAGTTCACCTTGACCACATTTAATTTACATGCAGCTGGCTCTGAAAGGCAACATGAAAGCCGCCTATTTCATGCAGTTACTCAATCAGGATTCTTTCTAACCCCGTATTCGTGTGTAGGCAAAATATATGACGACTTCAAAGCCCGCACAGGTTGTTGATTCTGGCGCTTTTGTGTTCATTTGTTTTGTTGGCACCGGTGCGTCGACTACGTCCCGTTCCAAAAGTTTGACTGGCAAGAGTGTGCAAAAGACTGAGACGTTGTGCGAGTGTCTGCGAACCAGTCAGGAGAAGATGGAAACGGGGTCAATCCTGTTCGAAGAAGAAGGAAACCTGGCCTCAGTTCAGCTCAGCTCGAGCCGGCTCTACTCCTCCAGCCTCCAAACTTTCTTCACTTCTGGCACTTTTGCCAGAATGCATTTGTGAGAGAATCGGATCTGTGCAGAGCTGCTGATGAAGGGACTATGTGCTCATGCGTCAGATTCGACTTGAAAGCTTTTTGACATGTGTAGCAATGGCAAACACATGTGTTTGAAAGTAGTGAACTTGCGCCCAAGACACTACAGCCACAGATACACTTTCTACTCTACATTTCCTATTTTCCTTGCCGATAAATTTTGTCTCTTAAATTGTCCGGCTCCTCCAACTGGCTATGTTTCTTGGGAAGGGGGCAATCATGGCAGTTAATATGCCGCGCCACAGTTGGGACTAGCCCATTTAGCGCACCCCTAGACACACACATACATGCATGCGCACAATTATAGACTGTCGAAAGTACACTAATTGCAGTTTCCTCGTTGAAAATGAAGTGTCATTTTTACAACCCACTAGATTTTTAAATAGATTTGGCTTAGCTTATGCACTAAATCAGATTTACAAATGGGAATCCTATGCAAATGAGGCTAACCAGCGAACAGCATCCTCTTGTCGTGATCAGTCGAGAGATGGTGCATAGATAAGTACGCATTATCATTTAACTTCTTAGAACAATTGAGTAACTAAGACTGTTTCCTTGGGCATGAATAAGCTGAGTCAATTGGTGTCAATATAATAAACCGAGTTACCACAGGCTCTAATGACTAGTTCATCCCATTCTTTGACGAGTTGTAGTGTGGTGCTAAGAATGGCAAGGCTCATTGACGGTGCCGATTACGATGCCGGCGAAACGTCTGGGAATGTAACACGTCCACGGTCTGACTGTAAATTATCATGCATACTATGTACTCTGGACAAAGTTCGTTCCTCCAGGTCTTCCTGCCAATAATGACCAAGTTGCGAAAATAAGATCAAACAACCTGTAAAATTTTATAACATCTATCCATTTATGAATAAGAATTTAGTCAGCCTAGGTCGCTTCAGGTGATTTCAGGCTTACTAGTTGAGTTTTTCCACAATGGCATGGGTTGGTCTCAGGATGCAATTGAAGTTCACTTAGCCTTCTAAAAACACACCTCACCCAGATCATACTGTACTCTCAACCCCACCGGGATTAGATATCAGGTTTTGAGTAGCATGGAGGCGTCACCCGTCCACCCCCAGCTACGGGTGTCAGAGGATCACGGGGCAAAGTCGAATAGGAATTCAATTCACCCAAGGTCTTATATGACGATGAAGGATTGTTAATGAATTTTCCAACAATGAGATGAGTAGGCCTCATGCTTCCAGTGAATTTCGCATGGATTTGATTTCCAAAGGATGTTCTCATCCAAGTTGGACTAGACTGCAGTCTTGACCCGCCTAGATCTCAAAAGTAGGAGTATTGCTTTTCGGCTGATTCATCCATTTTGAGTATCAAAATGTAGATTGATAGTTCGAAGATGAGGCTTCTTGTCCATTGCTTTCTCAATAGATTAGGAGGCATTTATTTTCCTGCTACCGGCACTGCTATAAGCTGACAATAAATGGACCTCTTGTTGCAATTCGCTACATCCTGAATTATAAACTTTCCCTTCAAGTTCTAAACTTCGTTGAATTTCAACATATGGAGAAAAATTGGGTCTCTAAGAGCTCCTTATTAATGTATTGTGGTATGGCTATTCATTTCGAAGGAAAAATTGGTTGTAAGGAATTCGTAAAATGTTCTCACTGGAAATAGAGGAATTGTTGGATTGTGCAAAGAAGTCCTCTGCTCACCGTCCTACGACCGCTCTAAAACTGTGCTAAGCCTTTGTCTCTACTGTGACAAACATCACCAGAGCAAGATTACATACTTTACGAAATAGCTAAAAAATATACTAAACCAAGATAATTGTTTGTGCTACTTCGTAAAGTATGCATTTTTGCTCTGTTTATGCCGGTTAAAGTGGTACAGACGAAAGCTTGTCACGGATTCATCAGGGTCGCAGGATGGTGAGCCGAGGACTTAATCGCACAATCCAATAGTCTCCACTCCATGGTGATCCTCCTTCGGTTTTCGGTAAAACCATTTCGCGAATTCCTTCCAACCAACTTTTTATTCGAAATGGAAAGTCATGCCACAAAATATTTCAATTTAACGTTAAAAGTATCCTGTGCGGACCATATCAGGCAGTTTTATAGTACTTACACTAGGTACAACGCGTCTGCCCTCTCGAATGTAACGCATCTTTCTTCTACAGAGAATTCCAACCATGCAGACGAATTTCCACAATGTGCGTATTTGTATATGTATTGGTTATTATGGTGTATGTTTGCAAGTAATTCAATGTTATTCCTTTTATTCAGAGTCTCGGCTGAAATGTCTGTTTAGAGGTTAATTTGCATCAGGCCACTCTTAATGTCTCTGCCTACATTGCCGAGATTTCATCTACGATTTTAGACATTTCTTTCATATATTTTACAGATAATTTATCTATTATTGCTACTGTAATTTTATCTACTATGAATAATAAGGTCACTTGTCTCATCCTTAGACAAAATCATTTTTATGTTGCTTATTATATTTTTATTTTTTATTATATCCGCTTCCTTCTCTATAGCTCCCACGAGCGAACATACTCAGGGTTCCCACTACTTCACTGGCAAGCAAGGTTGATAAAACTGCGTCCAGTACAGCTCGATCAGTTGGAAGTTCTAAAACGAACTCAGCACACAACGACTTTGGGACTGATCCAAGAATGCCGATGCAGAGCCTTGGCGGTTTAAGAAGAGAGGAACGTCAGCTAGTCACCTCCAATCACTTCCATTCTAATCAACTCCTTCTGCCTGAAAGTACCATCACTTCCGAGTAAGTAGGAGTCTGGCCGCTTAGTAACTGGAGCTGTTTTGAGAGGAGGATAGTTTCCATCAGTCCAAAGAAATGCCTGAGCACGCTACTTAGTATTCATTCTTCTGGATGATAATGAAAAATATGAAATGCTACAAAATAGGTTATGGCGAAGCAACACTCTGATTATGCTTTATTTTTTAAATGGTTTTGTGGTAATGACATCGAATTCCATATATCAAAAGATTATTTTGCTTTAGATGTTTGTGATTGTTGATTTGTTTAAAGAGGTCTTCGGAGCATTGCTTTCGATCCTGAACCATCCGTGTTGGGCTTTTGTCTGTCACTGATCAGAAAATCATTATTTAGGAAAAATCAGCACACAAAACGCCAAAAATGATGACCAACTGCAATCTTAACGATTTCTCATAACCTAAATTTGCGATCTGAATGAGATATCGGATGATTTGGTTCGTTAAATTATATTTGCACTACAAGCTGGCTAATGAATCAAGTCGATGTATAAAATGGATACAGATTTGGCCGAAGAGATGTTTCCTCGGATAGGAGACCGAATCACCTTTTATCATTGAGGGTGACGCAAGAACTGATGGTTGATTTTCCCAAAATAAAATTAGTAGAAAATCTCGAGGTGCATGAAATTTCGTTTAACCAAGGGTGCCAGTGACTTAAAGGCACAGCTATTCACAGACAAAAAGCTCATCAACTGACCCAGATGTTGCCCGAGACTATTACATCGGGATGACGGTTAAAAAAGGGAGGGATCACTAAAGCTTGATAACCGAGAACAGATGTGACGCTCTGTTTGGATTACTTAGAGCTATCACTACTGGCTTCTTACAGATGGGTACACTTGGACGTGCAATAGCACGCACGCACATGCTTCTAGATTGACCTCTAACTAACTTAAGTACTTTATACCTCGTAAAAATGCATTGCCCATGTGTGTTTACTTAGGAAAGAAGCAAGTGAATTTTCTTGGCTCACTAGCTTGGAA